GACAGATCTAAGCAAATATGTCCTAAAAGCCTAGGGTGGAGTAGTTAGTACTCAAGACAAACGATATGGCTCACATACACCGGGGCCGACGCCCGAAGACGAACGCACCACTAAGAATCACGTTAGAATAATCAGAGAACGAGAACAGAAGCTTCCCGCAAGAGACAAGGAAAACAAAAAGTGAATGAAATATGAGTAATGACCCCGAGGAGAGAACCGGATAAAAGCATAGACTAGGGAAAAAGACTACGAAGTGCCTAAGGAAAAGTTCTCCTCTTGCTATGAGGGACGAAGGCATAAATTGCGCCGAGGCTTTGCCAATTACCTCCCGCTGCGCAACAGTGGAGCGTACCCATGAGAGGGTTGAGTTTTAAGCTGCAATCCGATCCAGCTTCAACACTAAGCATCCTAGCCTTGAGACCTAACTAGGCACACGTGCAGAGCTTGCAGGATAACAGAACGGAAGCTTTGACGTCTCAAATATGACGAAAACAGACTAGAGCTCCAGGTGCTAAAATGGGCCGCGGCCTGCCGAACCGTTTACCGCTCTTCCAACTACGAGCAAGCTTTTACTCGTTCTAGCTTTTATAATAACGATTCCAAACGATGAGGCTTTATAAGAAATGAGGCAGTATGCACGGCAGTTTGTGAGCTGTCCAGGAAGGCGCCTTTGTCCGAAACCGCTCCAGGCTAAAGAAGATCGGATGAAGCTGATAATGTTATCAAACGCCACCTCCTAATATGAAAGAAAATAATTTTTGGAAAAAGGAATACCGAATATCTCCTCATATACGGTGTTAGCGTTTTGACAGGGACGAGCGAATGAGTATAGTGAAGCGATATGCGCATTGCTGTGATCATCCCCCATTCAAATCATCTCGTGGGTATTCTCTGTGTCTATTTTTTATGTCATGCAATTCCGTAAAGAGCTAGCGGTGCTCACATATCTAGATCAGAAGATGAGTGTGTTAGCATAGGTTTCACCTACTCAGAGAGCTGTTTATTGACGCGGCCCTACCACCTTCTCAAGTCTGTCGCAACTCCCGAATTAGAGACTCCGTCAAAGATTAGAGAATATACGTGCCATCATATGGCTTCCTATCCCTACCTCTGGTTGAGGTGAGGGGAGTAGAGGAAAAAAGGAATGAGGCGCTACTGAGGTTAAATAATGCGGTCAACACCAGGGGACTTTATTAAGCTAGGGCTATTCAAGGGCGAAATAATGGAAGGCTCAGGTCATTAGTACATCTTTAAACGAATGAAAGAAGTTCTTACCACGCAATTACCGTAGTGTTCCAATGTGTGCAAGGCTAATCGGGGTGAGAGAAGTGACTGGGTAAGTCGTCGGAGTTCGCCAGGACCGTGGGCCCCGTTATGACCATCAACTTCCCACGCTTTCCTCAAATTGCACATTATGAAAATATGAGTCCCAGCCCAGAGCATACTTCTGCATTCAGCACCTAAATCGGGAATAGCCAGGCCCAACCAAGCTCCTTATGGCTTTCACCGCTACTAAGACCCATCGTAGTGATACCCGCACGCCTGACATCTACAACCTGGCATCCAGCCGATATACCATTTCCAGATACATAATAATTCCAGAGCTACTACTTTGGTCTATGTAGTCCCTAGCATTACGAAAACTTGCTTCCCCAACTACTTTTATACCATCAAGATCTCCGTTAGGCTCGGCAAGCGTTTATATGAATGCTAATACAGACGCTGTAGCACCTTCGTATTGTGCGATCAACCAGATTATTCCCATATCTCGGGCTGCGAAGGCATGCTCATGGGTTAGAGGAAAACTGAAGCCTTTCTGTAGAAAAGCTATCCTATACAATCAATAACAACTACATTACTCTCTCCCTGCACCCATAACACAAAATTATAGATCTTGAAAACCCGGCTAGGCTATCTACAAACACCATTGCTTCGCAAGAAAACGTCTCTCATCTTGATCTTCTTTGCCGCCTCAGGACCTTGTCCGTAAACTAGAGCATCAGCAGCCCAACATATGCATAGCTCAAGAGTCCGATTGCCATAACACATATCGGATTCGAAATTAGGACGCCCGTTCGTTTATACTCATCACCAAGCCCCAAGGATTTGGCGAGGGACTATAGTTAGACAATTTAGCCGGCGGATCGGTGCCTCTAATTCTGGGTTTACAACAAACGATCTGCTCGTCCCAGCGTTACCCCTCCCATCACAAGCATCCATTTCCCTGCCCCGCAAAAGTCCTAGAAGTAAACTGAAAAGAAAAGTACTTTAATTTCTCCAACCTGATTACAGGTGAAAAGGAAGGTCCTGGCTAAAGAGCTGGGAAAACATGCACCCCCGCTAGTCTAAAAATGGCAGGGTCACGCGGCATCACCATCAACACCAAACCTCAGCCATTAACTCGACGCCCTCTTACGAAACGCCTCAAATTTCTCTCTGCAGATCTAGCACTGATAATTCCACCACAAACTTCGCTTTTTCGAGTTTTGAACCATTGTGCTATTGGTTATGCTACTTTGATACACTCCACTCGCCGCATGTTTCTCCGCAGATCAAGCACTAGGAAGGTTGGGCAGCAACGAACCTTTTCCTTAGCAATCTAAGAAAAGCTCGTCACTTCTCTTTTCAAAGCTTTACTACCCTAGACGGATATTTCCTTGCGCATGCAACTCGCCGCTGCCCGCAGCCTTGCTTAAATCGATCAGACCCCTCCATAACGCCACCTATGCTCCCCCGGCCCTTCAACTGGTTCCAGGTCATCTCCCCTGTTCATGAACCTTGCGCCCACCGGTTGTGTCTTTACAAGTTAAATGGATCACGAGCCACTATGTACTTCGGCAGACGATCCGCCGGGCCATCAATGGCACTTTATTCAGGAATAGAGCAAAATAATTTCTCCGTAGCAATAGAAAATTTCTTTTATGAACCAGCGAAACTCTTCTAGGTGGCGAGTAACACAAGCTTATCCCTCTAAGAGCTTAGGTCTATATCAAAGGGATCCTGCATAATGCGTATCACAGCTGCAGGTGTCTACGCTATCCTTTCAGCATCAGTAGCGCAAGCCATGCTGCAGATCGTCCCAGGAGCAACATGGACAGCTGTAAGCCACGACTGCACGCCTTGTTTTTCCTCGGCTCTTATGTAATTTTTGAACCATGACTGACTTAGATCTCGCAGGCAGGTACCGGGAAGCATATCCAGGCTCACGGCGGCGGCATCATCAAGGTGGATTCAACCTATTACTGGGTCGGGGAGGACAAAACTTCTGGTTCAGCTTTTCAGAATATAAATTGCTATAGTTCAACAAACCTGGTCGAATGGACCTACGTTGGTGCTATCCTCAAGTTACAGAGCACTGGCGATCTTGGTCCTTCTCGAGTTGTCGAACGTCCGAAAATTATCTTCAACAAAAGCACTAACCAGTACGTTTTATGGATGCATACCGACAGCAGCAACTACGGGGAAGCGAAGGTTGGGGTTGCTACAAGTAGTAGTGTTTGTGGGTCTTACAGTTATAAAGGAAGCTTTCAACCGCTGGGTTTTCAGAGCCGAGATATTGGGCTATTCCAAGATGATGACGGCACTGCATATTTGTTAAGTGAAGATGTAAGTTCGCAGAATAAATCTAATGCTGCACTACGCAGTATTCGCTCGCCCGATCGACAATTCATCATACTATTACCCCAACGCCTCTGCTTTTTTTTTCATTTCATTGCAAGGCATGCCCTTCGCTGTTAGAATTAATATTAACTATGTCCTCTCTTATCAGCGCGCCAACGGCCTTCGGATCGACCTTCTATCGAGCGATTATCTCTCCGTTGTCAGCACCACTCATCTCTTTCCTGACCACATAGAAGCACCCGCCATAATCAAGAAATCCGGCGTCTACTTCATGTTCGGCAGCCATTTAACAGGCTGGGACCCCAATGACAACGTCTATGCAACGGCGACGTCTCTCTCCGGGCCTTGGTCAGCCTGGAAGACTTTCGCGGACGTAGGGTCCAAGACATACTCCTCCCAAACCAACTATATCTTACCTGTAGGCGATAATGCTATCTATATGGGGGATAGGTGGATTAGTTCGAATCTCATGCGGAGCACCTACGTTTGGCTTCCACTCAAACTATCCGGTACAACGGCGAGCATGAGCAATTATGTAAATTGGGTCCTTGATACTAGCTCGGGTTCAATGACTGGAGGTCCTTCAGAAGGAAGCTATGAGGGAGAAGCAGCTACGCTTTCTGGTGGCGCAAAGAGCGTGACTTGCTCCGGATGCTCCGGCTCTGCCGCTGTAGGGTATATTGGAGGTTCCACCACTGGCACAGCGCTATTTGCTGGCGTGTCAAGCAGCGCGACTGCAAGGACAACTATCAGGATCAACTACGAGAACGGCGATTCCACGGAGAGATATGCGGATATAAGTGTAAACGGGGCAGCCAGCCAGAGGGTTGCGTTTTTGCCAAGCAGTAATGGATATACACCTGCAAGTAGTACCCTACACACGAGCCTAAACAGTGGTACAAATACAATCAAGATAACAACCAACGGGGGCGGTTGGGGCCCCGATATAGATCGTTTGATGGTACCAATGTCATAGATTTTACGGGCGAGTAGCTTTCCCTAAACTTAGAAATATCAGCTCGTAGTCCAAGAATTAGTGTTGCTATCCAAGTGATGACTTTCAGAGGTTATAGGAGAGCACTAGCCCCAGTAGAAGCCCCAAATAGCTAGGCAGTAGGTTTCGACAATACTATATCCCATATCTCTACAAAACGCCCCACGATCTCTCTATAGCTCACCTAATTTAGCTACCAACAAGCCATTAAACTAGCACCGTTTTATAGACACTAGACAATGAATGACTCGGTGGAACAACTACAGACCATACAGGTAATAAAAAATAAGTTTTAAGTAACCTTGCACCCCTCAAAAAATATAAAATAAAATGAACGCAAAGATTCCGACGCTAAAGATCTTCTAGCTACGGAATCAGTGCGGACGAGTAAGAAGAGGATTCGAACCTCTATCTTTCGCTTCCCCTTTTAGGGTTACGAACATGCTTCCTTTTGCACCAGCTCACCTAAAGGCTTAGTGAATGAATTCTAAACAAAAGCAGCATATAAAGCAATGTAGATTTATTCCCTCTTATGAAAGTAACGAGGAAACCCGCGCTTTCGGGACCTTCATATCACCTACACTTTACTACCTACCTCCATTTATGGACAGAACAATCTTCTCAAGGATTCAGTACCAAGATAGTGGTGCTATTCACTCTACTTTGCGACTTCCATAAACTAGTGTGATAATCTACTCATATATCGGCTTCTAAAGGACTCTTTCCCACTCCTGTAGTATTAGGTCATTCAGTCCCTCAAACGGAAGCCCCTGAAGAGGATGCGTTCTTCCGAACCGTACGTGGCGTTTCCATTGCTTTACTTAGCATGATAAATGCTACCTACATCGTCATTTGGCTTGCAGCTAGAAACAGCCGGGTGGCCTACAAGTCCCCATGTAGTGGTGATCAACAGTCGAAGAGGCATGGTATACTCAAGTGACTATTCTCACCGTTGAAATACTTACATTATCGTAATCTAGTTAGATACATTAAAGCTTTAAGCCACGTTTAGGTTTACTCACCTAGTTAGCGTTCAGCGCTAGTGAATCAGTCTGCCCTTTTCCAGGACTTTTCCACAGAACACTACACGCGGCCTCCTCACCAACCTACTTTCATCCTACGAATCTATCAGCTATTACCTGGGCACTTCCTCTTTATTTTTCAGTGCTCGAAAGTACCTTTATATATTCACCCATCTCTAGATTTACTGTGGACAGAACAATGCTCTTTCACCTCCGCCGCCCTGGCCTCGACATTCAGGTTCACAGTGCCAGCAAGCATACGATCAATCATGGGACTTCAAAAACATCAGTTAAACCGGAATCTAAAGCAGGAAATTATGGCCCTCTACACATGCTCAAGTAGTGATAAGTTCAAATGCAATATCCTGGTGGTACTGTATATGGATCACCTGTAACGAGCTATTGACCATTAAGCCGCGATTGAAACCGCACAATTTCCCAATTACTACTATCCACGGACTTATCCATGCTAATAGCGCCAGACCCGACCAACCTAACGATACTACCTGACGACACCGTCCCAGCGTTACACCACCGCTTCCTTTTAGCATCTTTTATTATTTTACAATTAAAGTATTTACGGAGAAGACCATATAACAACCCGAGTCTACGACTCTACAGCCGGAGCAATAATTGACGCTGGCGGAGCAGCTCTTGGGTCACTTGGTCAGAGAATCATCCGTTGATGGGGACAGGCTGAGGGTCCCTTAGCATAACAGTATTTCGCTCTATGCCTTCGCTGCCATATTTCGAAAGGTCGAAGAAGGTCTCCTTAACTGGTCGATAGCCGAGTTTTTCGTACAGCGGCCGACCCATATCCGAGGCCTCAAGATACGAAGGCAGCTGGGCTTTGTCAGCCTGATCAAGCCCCCATTTGAGTAACATTGCTCCAGCTCCACGCCGGTGGTGCTCAGGAAGGGTTATAAGCATATGGAGGACTGCGAATAATACCAAAGGTCAGTCCGCTATTACCATCCAACACAGCCATGATTTTGAAACCAGCTTGACTTACAGTAAAATGGTTTAACTCCCATGAAATCCCTTCTGCTATTCGCCAAGTACGTAACAAAATCCTTCTCAGCCCCTACACAGCTATCCGGCTGGGGTTCTCGCGGTTTAGGCAACGATCTCTCCACTACCTCCTCAGACCGTTCCTCGAGATTGATTCTCCACTTCGCACAAGAGATAATCTTGTTTATATCGGTATCGATAACTTTGAGAAAATGACAGTCGGGTTCATTGCGCATTGAGTTAAGGTGGTTGTTAACACTTTTGGCAAACCGTTCTGGAGTCACAGGTTTAGGGATAAGCTTGCTCGCCATTCCAGTCGTGAACGCAGCGTTCTGGATGCGGACAAAGTCCGCCATGTCGCTTTCCTCCACATGTACTACTTTGAGAGGCATATTGGCGACAAAACAAGAGCCGAGCAAGTTGGGCCATTACAACAGCAGGGAAATGGCGGCTCTTATGCACCGGAGAGTTTTCGTATAACGCCGAACATGATTATTGTTCATGAGTCAGAATTTAATCACATGATTCGGCCAGTCCGTTACCTGCATATCTACTTTCCGTGCCGCGTGTTGGATGAAACCGGACTCTGCCTATCAAAGGTCTTTTGCGGGTAATTCCTGAGTCATATCTTGGGCCATCAATGCCAAAGAAAGATATCTGCCTAATGAAAATTCGCCAGCACGTGATGGCTATAATTGGCAACACATACAGTAGTGTCTAGACCGGGGAGACCCTAAATAGTAAGCCTTGTCAAGCTAATCTGCTAGTGGAATTCCCACCAGGGAATGCTACTCGCAAGAATGCTCCCCGAAAAACTTAGCTTCTTTACCAAGATAGCGCACCAAGAAAGTACTAGCTTCGAACACTACTGTCAAATTATTTCCTTACATACCGAGATTCCGTAGTCGATTCAAAAATAAATTAGCAAAGGCAGATACTCAAATTGAACAGCTCCCTAAATTTATAAATCGTAATAACTGACAGCCTGATATGTGCTATTCGTAACCAATGATTTTCCGACACTGTTGCAAAAACAATGCTGAAAATTGCCCCTGCCCTGGGCGGGCTATGTTCGTTGCTCCCAAGAACTCTGCTCTACATGGAGGTCATGAAGAGCTTTCTTTCCCCTGGCAACTATACTCAATCTTTAGAGTGTTAGAAATATCATGTCTGGGAATTATATAGTTTCCGCCTAGTGTCTTCTCGCTGGCATTGGAGAGGGAGTCCAGTTCCCAAAGTTCTTAAGGTAATTTGACGTTCAAATTCTCTAAAATTAGCATTGAAGATTTACAAGAAAATACTCAATGATTTAAACGTTAAGGTAAAAAGATCTGAAATCTTGCTGTTGGGTCGCCGGTTTTTGAGCATTCTATGAGTTTCCTAAAACTAAAGCAGAACGACGGTAGAAGTAGACGGAGTTCGCAAATTTCCTTACGCTAGCTTACGCTAATTTAGTGGCCTGCAAGGAGTTTGAATATAGCTTAGAGGATGCCGATTTAGGTGAGAGACTAAGCTAGGGAGCCATACTTAGCTCTATGCACGAGCTGGCGCCAATCCTTGGAAATTTTAAGGTTTCGTAATTATATAATAAGCCTTTTTACGTCAAGCTTGCTATAACGTTGCGTAATTTAGTACCTTCTATTAATTAAATTAAAGCTTTCTCTGGCTAAGCTTATATTTAAAGGCTGCTTACTTGCTCTATTTATCGGCGCCGCTATAGTCTTTATAAATATACTATGGCTTAATTAATTGCTAAATAATTTTATCTAATTAAGACG